AAGTAAACTAATGCCCTTATGGACTTTATAGTCTGGTGGGAGATATGGACGATAAATAATTAAGTGAATAAAGATATTAATATATTGTCACCCAGCATGTGTTCGGAGGACATTCAGAACGTTGGGCAGGGTTGGAAGGCCAGGAGTGCCTCTCTGAGCCTGTGGTGTTTGAGCATAGCAGAGAATTGAATAAGGGAGGAGGGAATGTGAATGCCTGATAGACCCAGATGGGGAGACTATGCAGTATGTCCGATGAACAAAAGGGAAGAGAGTGTAGCTTGAGTGGCCTGAGCAAGGGGAAGAGCAAGGGTTGTTAATGAGGTCATCAGGACACGGCCATTTAGGTCTCTCAGGCTGTGTAAGGACTTTTATGCCACTTGGGGGTCCTGAGCAGAGGAGGAACATGCTGCATGTATGGTTTCATAGTGTCATCCTGGCTACCTTGTTCAGAATAAATGGGAGAGAGAGGAGAGGAGACTGGTTAAGAGGACGGTTTAGTAGATTGAGCAAGAGACGGTGGCATCTTAGACTTGAGAGGTAGTGTGGAAAGTGGTGACAAGTGGTCACAGAACATATTTTGATGGAAGAGGCAACAATACTTATTTTTAAAATTGAATGTAGAGAATGAAAGATAAAAATCAAGGAAGACTCTATGGTTTTCAGCCAAAGTAACAGAATGAAAGGTGGTGCCATTTACTGAGATTTGAAAACTGATGGGAGATACAGACTTGGGGGTGGAGTTGGTAAAAGCAAAGTTTGACTTGTGAGATTTCTCTTAGGCATTTAAGAAGACATTTGAGTAGGTCAGGGAGGTATGGTCCTGTGACTTCAAAAAGTTGGTTTTAGGGAAGTAGAGAAACAACTCTGGATGTAGCACTGAAAACCAGGGCAAGCATATAACCCAGCCCCACAGAGGTAGGGAGGAGTAGGAGCAAAAAGAGACAACACTGAACATATTTCAGGGGGATTCAAAATCTTCAGGGAAGAGCCGGTTCAGTTAGAGCAAGATGGTGATGAAGCTGCTCAGACTCTAAAGTGCTCAAAAGCAGAAGGCTTTTGAGTTTGGGCATCAATGCAAGTATTTAGGCAAGAGGAAACCTGGAGCTTCACAGGATTGTGGATGAGGAAAGGGCTTTAAGACAATAAGATATGTTGTCTATTTACTGCATCCTCACCCGCAGCAAGTTCTCCACAAGCATATTATACGTCCTACAAACACTGGTTTCTCTACAATCCCTGCGATAGTGCTGGCAGAACAGCTCAAGGCAGAAACCCCTGCATGGGGCCTCTGAGCAATCTCTATGTCCACTTCTTCCAGGGCACAGGTCCTGGGCCTCTCAAGTACCTGTCCCTCCTATTAAGGGCATATCTTGTTCTCACTAGTCTGTCTTCCTAAATGCCCCAAGGTGGGTGGTCTCCCCTCCTCAGGTTAGGGAAAGGGGTGTGGTCATCTCCAGTCCTACCACAGGTCTTGAGGACAGAGGTTGAAAAATTAAAGCCACAGGCACTTGTAAAGAAAACTACAAATTCTGGGCAAAGATGGAGCCCAATACACAGATCAAATGGGCAGACAGTCTGTAGGGTTTAGAGAATCAGGCAGCTCATTGGACTCCCAGAATGGCCAGGAAAGGCTCACAGAGAAGCTGGGCCTCCAAGTCCCTGACATTGAGGAGCATTCACGTGACCACCTGTCTAGATCTGCATCTATTAACTTAATATTGTGCCTCTGGGTGAGAGAGAACCATTTGTTCCTTATCATCATCCTTAATAAATCCAAATCAGGTGGTGGCGGAAAACCAGCCCAAAGCTCATTTCAGAAGGATGCAGAAAAAGGGGGGCAAAGGGAAAACACATCAGAAAAGAAATTCATCTTTTCAGCACAGAGACAAAAGACTGGGGCTTGGTCCAGAGCTACAAAGACTGATCCTTTCAAGGCTGACCCAGTTTTCAAGACTTTCAAGTCAAGTAGTGATAAAAAAAATCCCTCTCTTCAGTGTTATTAATGGCTTCTCCACTATATGCAGATAGGTAAAAGCATCATATCTTTATTTGCATTTCTTTTTCTATTGCCTTCAGTCCATTGAATTTTTCCCTTATCTGCCAAGAAATGTCTACCTTTAAGGTATTCTTTCATTTCCTCATGCCATTGGCTGTCAAATGACTTAATAACTTGCCCATCATAGAAGTCAAATATAGTCTATTAAAAATGCATGTCTCACTCAATAAGATGCCCTTTGGCGGTCTTCAGACCTTGACGACTCTGTCTCAAAGCTTGGAAACGCAGAATGGTCTTGGCTGGCCAGCAGCCCTGCCTTGCTTTGTATCACATTCACTGCCCAGATTATTCTGAAGTGACACAGAGAAGGGAGGTGGGAACTGTCCATAGACAGGTGAAATTGGGCCACTTGTCTGACTTGAGCAAGTGGGACACAGGCCTGAGAACCCCAAGTGCCTGAGCACTTCAAAGTCATCTGGCCAGGTCCTAGGGAAGAAATACAGGAATGAGGATGTGGCTGATACCCTAGGGTAGGAAGAGGGAGAGAGGGAGGAAGGGAGGGAGGAAAGGGGAAGGGAGAGAGGAAAAGATGCATCTCAGGAGAAAATGGCATTAAGGCAGGAGTGGGCTGGGTCAAGTCAGTGCACTGGAATGATGAATCATGCCTGTGATGGCTCGCATAGCAAGGCTACATCACTATTTACAGGGGCTAATGAGGCATCTGCAGTCACAAATTCAGAGTATGAATGTTGTTGTGGCTGAGGAAGAAGCAAGAAGCCTGAGCAAAAAACACAAATGGAATTGGAGGTCGCCTTTTCCATAATCTACCGAGGGGATGGACAGCACCAAAACCACTCCATTTGGATATGTTGACCCTTCTCCAAACTACCTTACAGAAGCCCCTCATCTGCATGGGCGATGTTCTCTTGCTGCTTATAGACCTCTTAGCCAGAAGCCCAGGGCATCAGCTCATCCTTCATTCTTTATTTTTCTGTACATAGCAGAGGTGAAACACAGCTGTGTATGCTTCCCTCTATACAGCACCCCTTCACCTACTTGCAGAATTTACTCTGCACTCCCTTAGTCTCCTCTTGACAATGCAAATTAATCCCCAGATCTTTCACAATAGTTACTTTCATTTTTGTCTTGTTGTTTCTGTGTTTTTTTTTTCACATCTTGCTTAAGTGGTGAGTCATGTTCTACTCAATCTGCTCAGGAACACGTAGGCCTGCAAAGATGTTTAGGGAGCCACAGTTGCTTTGCACAAGAGCATGTAGACACCACACCAAGACTAGAGACTCCATAGTGCGAGAAGACCAAGAGAAGGGCCAAGGCACCGATAGTAGGAAATGCTGCTTAAGCTATAAGGGCAGGGTCTGGGG